TGTAATCTGATAGGGCTGATGCCCTTACAGAAAGAGAAAAAGATGCCAGAGCTTGCTCTCTCCATCATATGAAGACACAAAAAGAAGGTGACCATCCACAAGTCAAGAAAAGAGCTCTCGGCAGAAACCACCCCTGCCAAATCTTGATCTAGGACTTCCAGTATTAAGAACTGTGATAAAATACATTTCTGTTGTTTAAGCCACACAGTCTGTTGTATTTTGTTATGGCAGCCTGAGATGACCAATACAGTCACATGAACACTCCAGAAACAGCTACCTAGGACTGGGCAGGTGGAAGTCCAATCACCTTTGAGATGACATGTTACATGTAACCAAGAGTAGCATTTCACCCTCACTGATTGGTACCAAATGAATTCTCTGAAATCTCTTCCTGGGAAAGCACAAAAGCTAAGTGAATTAAGGAAAGTAGATTATGTGTGCCAAGTTTTCATTCTTATCTATAATGAGTATTTTTTTCATTTCTCTGTAAAATGTAGACATCTCCCAACTATCCAGATATTCATCCAACTTTATAGGAAGTACTTATTGAAAATCTGCTTCAAGATCTATCTCTCTGAGAGTAAATAAATCTTAATTACCAGAATATTCATGCACCTGGCGCAGTAGGTGGTCAATAAACCTTTGTTATAGGCTAAGTGAATGAATAAATGAATGAAAGAATGAATCAGTAACAAATAGAATCTGAGGTGACTCTAGTGTTTGATCAGTTTTATAAATATTCCACATATCTTCTGTCTTTCCAAAAACCTTCATTACCCATGGTTTTCTATACATTTCCCTTCAAGAAACCTAAAGAAGCTTAACCAAGATTTCTTCATCCTGTTCTACACTATAAAGGAGGGAGGATTTGGAAGTGGAAATCTCAAGGATCATCCTCCTCATATGTACAGAGTGTTCCTTCAGATCTCTATATGTGGATGACTTCCTTGGGTCCCATATCACAGCTGAAATGTTCAAGTCATTTAAGTCTGTTTCATGATGTTCAAGAGGTGTGCAAGATTCTATTCATTCTGAGTACAAGAAGCCTCCTCTTCTGTTTGCAAATATCAGAATACCCAATTCACAGGAGCTTAAACCAATAGTTGTACTTTCTTTTCTGTATATTATACAAATACTAGAGGTAGGCTGTCCCAGGCTGATCCTTTGATTCCATGATCCTTCAGTTCTGTGGCCTTTAGAAAATGTTTTCCAGATGGTGGCTACTTTTCCAGGCATAACATCTGCTTTCTAGTCAGTGAGAAATGGGAAGAGTATGTCTTTGCCGAATTCTTTTGAAGCCCATCTTCCATCCCACAGAGTTCTACCTATATTTTCTTGGCCAGAGTTACAGTGCATTGCCATCCTTAGATGCAAGGGAGAGAGGAAGGCAAGCAAGGAAGAACTGGGTTTAGAATATGTGTTGAATGAACACACATATGCAAGTATCTTCTACACTTTCTTCGGTAAGAAGAGGAAGTTTCTGAGAATGCCAAACAAGACTTGGAAGTAAGAGTAGCTTCTGAGAGTTCAGCAAAAAGTGTTATGACCAATCCTTTCACAGCCCTGCCTTAACTAAGCTCCATAACTGAGTCTGTGTCATCCAGTTCCAATCTAAATGGCCAAACCAGGATCAGATATCCCTCCCATCATTTGTGGATCAGTCATGGCTAGGGGTCCTGCAAGCTGAGGGCCAGGGTTGGATAGTTCAAACATGGGTTTTAGGGGCACTCGATTTACTAATAGCAATTTTCACAGAAGAGGAGTCATTGTGAACAAGGGAGCCTTGAGGTGGGTCTATTTACTCTTGGAGGAGGTGAGCGGGTTGCAGGCAGATTTTTCCGATATCACTTCCTGCTGCCCTCAATTGCTTCTAAATGTGGTTTTAGAGACCTTGGAGAACAGAGCTCTTGTCTGAGCATCCAAAAACATGGGAGGTATCCCAGTTCTAACTATGACTTTGGGCAAACTATTCATTAAATATCCATTGCCTCATCTGTGCAGTAAGAATAAAAACATCCATGGATTAAGCGAGAAATTGAAATAAGCACATTCTGACATGACTGCAGCCTTAGATAAATAGAAGATGTTGCTATGATTTGTATCTTAGAACAGTGCCAAGCTATGGCTACCTTTCCTAGCCACTGATAGGTTTCACATCTCTGAATGTGATCTCATGAACATGGGCCATCAATGTTTACAAGGATAATTATTTTTCCTACAACCCCTCCTTCATTTTTTTCCAGGCTTTTTGTCACCTGTCACCCAGCATGTTCTCTTCCAATGAGTGGCTGAGAGCGGAGGATGGAATATGTCTTCTGGAATCAGGAGCTGTGTCTCATGATCCCATTTGCAGTGCATGTGACTAGAGAAGGCAAAACCTGAAATCCCCTCTTCTCACCAGAAGTCATGCAGAGCCCAAAGGGTTAAAGCAACAGTCAAATGGGCTGCACACTACCTCTCTAACAGGCTGTTCAATGAGATAGTTATTTGACCACACTACTTTCAATGAGGTAATGGTCCCACATGCACCCTCTTTCCTTGGTAGAAGGTGCATAAAATATAAATAAATGATCAAGTTACAGAATGAACTCTGAATGACCAATTCTGGTTCAAGTAAAGGCCTTCCCCTACCCTGCAGTTCCCTGATGATAAATCTTTCAGCAACAGGCTGATCCCTTTCAGAAAACAGGCTGACTAGCAATGTTTTCACCTTCTGCACTTGTCAGGATGGAGTGAGTGTGAGATGGAGACCTGAACACACACACAACCACAGACAAATGGCCTTGAATGGATTTCCTCATTCAGGGCCATTTGGCCGATCCTCTGGCGGCTGCTGGGAGGGAGAGAAAAGGGAACAGGTTGCAATGTCAATAATAATAGCAAATGCAATAGACCATCTGTAAAAGGGAGCTGTTGATCTGACTTTCAGAGCATGCTGGCGACAAGGTTGAAGGGACAGGACAGAGCTCCTACTACTAAAATGAATGGCGATGTCATTTTCCATTTCTTCATTCTCTTAGTTTTCCTTTGGGGGTAGATTATTTAAAGTTTGTCATGAGTCTTTGCTAATTTGCAAAGCAACTTGTATGTGCTATCTCATGTTACCCAGGCCTATGTGTATGCCATAGGAAAAAGAATATGAAGGAATTAGGGCTTCAGTATTTTTCAAGGTATTCTTTGGTGACACGTTGCACAGGGCTTCTAGGGGAGGGGGTACGAACAAGCTTACAAAGTGGCTGCTCCGACCAGAAATGGAAACCACTCCCTCTCACAAGGAAGTTATTGTTGATAAACACTTTTCAGAGGTAGTCAGAGGATATAGAAATCAATCGGATAAGGTTATTTTCCTTTGTTTTGTTTCTCTGGTTCCCCTGGTGTTTGCTTTTCCCTCTAAATTAATTAGAGCCAAAAGGCATTAAAGTGACTAGCAAATCCCTACCTGGGCAGATCTTATCTGAATGCCACCACTTCCTGCTCTTGCTCCTGCCAGGAGATTCTCGTCTTGGTTCTGGCTGATGTCTTTCTGTGATCCAAAGCCTGCCTCTGTAGCCTGATGGACCTGCCACTTGACCCTTAAACCTCAGCCATCTTGGGGCTGCGATTCAGTTTTTTCTGGTTCGCCATTGGCTCTCTGGTCTGTAACCCCCTTGAGTTACTGACAGGGTCTTGGATAGCCCCTGCTGTGTCTTTGTGTGAATTTCCAAAAGCTTTCAGCTCTTGGCAGTCTAACCAAAAAAGCATCTCCCCATGGATTGAGGTGGCTGGCACCTGGCCAGCTCTTGGAGTACAGGCTGGTCCTCAGCCCTCGCTTGCAGCCCTCTGCCCAGCATACAGACACATGCTGTGGGCTGGAGAATGGCAACACCTCTGTCATTTCTCTTTGCCTCTGGCCAGAGTGTCAAAGGGAAGTCAGCTCTGACGGCAAGTCAGGCAGGAGTTGCTCTCCAGGCTCCTTTGACTGCTGTGTCAGGCGACCACAAATGTCCTGGCAAGGACGGCTTAATTCTTGCCAAGGGGACTTTCACTTATTCATTCAAACACCGACTGAACACCTTCCAAGTGCCAGGCATGTGTAAGATGCTGGGGATATCGAGGGGCTACCAAGACAGATGTGGTCCCTGTGCTCATGGGCCTCACAGTTGAAATGCTGGACAGGCAAAAACGTGTGAGCGGGCATAGTAATTTCATGATGTACAAGGACTGAGGAAGTTAAGACCAGACTGCTGAGAAAGAAAATAATAGAAAGGCAAGGGATGGATTTCGAATGGGGCAATTGTGGTAAGACCATAATGATAAGGATAAGCCAAAGCCAAGAGCATGAGTGGTCCATCTGAAAAACAAAAGCAGCATGGGTCAAGGCCACGAGGCAGAAAAAGACTGACATGTTCCAGTAACCAAGAGGGCACTGGAGTGGATGGGATGAAGCTCGAGAAGAGAGGCACAAGTAAGGTCTTTGAAATGTGCAGGACACAGGTTATGCAGGACTCACTAAGGCTTTCCAACTGCATTCTTCATGCAATGGAAGTCATTTGAAAGGCTTTAAGCAGGATAATGACATGGTTGGGTTTGGATTTACGAAGATCACCTTGGCTGACAGCTCTAGTTGCTGTAATTTGCTTTATCTGCCTTGCTCAGCCTCATAATGTACCTTCCTGATTGGGAGTTGGTGCAAGGTTGATGCACCCCCACATTCACAGTCTCTGGCTCCCCATGCCTTTTCCATTATGCCCTATGCTTGTGCCTCCACAAAATACTGAGCCCCACATCTGTGAGGAGAACTTCCTTGACTTGGTTTCCCCCTTAGCATTTCCCACTTTCCAAGCTTCAAGACATCCACAAGCAAACATCCCTGGGACACTTTTCCTACTCATATGAAAGAAGCAGGGTTCCTGTTACTCTACTCTTTCCCAAGACTCAAACGCGGGCCCAAACTACCTGTGAACCTGACATAGTGTACGTGTTAATCTAAAGACCAGAAATGCTGTTGCAAAATGTTTTACCTTTATGTAGATACTAAAGACACATTTGCATTTTTCTCCAAGAGCTCTGGTTCTTACCAGACCGCAGAAGGCCAGCAGCACGGTGGTCTGATGAGTGGATTGGAGTGTGAGTCATCAATGGGTCTTCCTGGAGACACTGCGGCTCAGCAGCCCCTGCGGAGGCTTGACTGCATCTGGTGAAACTTCATTTTGACACAGGTGTTGGTGACATGGTCAAGTCATGTAGAAATGAGAGAGTCAGTTGCTCTTTTCCTTTGTGGCCTGTCTACACAGCTTCATGAGGGGAAGGGTGGGGAAATTTCTGTCCCACTACTCAGAGACATTTTAAGAAGAAGAATAAATCCAAGCACCTGGAACCTGAAATCAAGTCACTTTTTTTCTTATCCATTGATATAAGGGAAATTTTGGAGACAAAAATATACCCTAAGAGGGATACTAAGCCTTCTTTTTTGGAAGTCTTTGTGGGGAAAAGGGACTATTAAAACTGTAGTGTAGTTGGTCAAGTGAAAAATCCTCAAGTAAGGCTTCCAAATTCAAATCTCAATCCTACCACTTCCTAGGTGAGTGAGTTCATCTGCTCAGGCTGTCATAATGAAATACCCTGAACTAGGTGACATAAACAACAACAGTTTGTTTTCTCACAGTTCTGGAGGCTAGGAAGTCCAAGATCAAGGTACTGGCCAGTTTTGTTCCCCAGTGAGGGCTCTCTTCTGGCTTGCAGATGGCTTGCCAAATTGCTGTGTCCTTACATGGAAGAGAGAGAGAGAGAAAGAGAAAGCGAGAGAGAGAGAGAGAGAGAGAGAGAGACAGAGAAGAAGCTCTCTGGTGTTTCATCCTTTAAGGGCACTAATCCCATCATGAGAGCCCCACCCTTATTACCTTATCTACCCCTAATTAACTCTCAAAGACCCTGTCTCCTAACACCTTCAAATTACAGGTTAAGACTTTGGTACATAAATGTTGGGGGGACACAAATATTCAATCTACAGTATTGCATCCCTTTTGCCCCCTCAAATTCATGCCCTTACTGCGTATAAAATATATTAATCCCACCCCAATAGCCACAAGTCTTAACTGATTTGCAATATTATCTCTAAAGTCCAAAGTCTCACCTCAGTATAATGTAAATCAGATATGGATGAGACTCAATATACAGTTCATCCCGAGGAAAAACTTCTCTCCGCTTGTGAAACTATGAAACCAAACAAGTTGTTTGTTTCCAAAATACAATGATGGGACAGGCATAGGATTGACATTCCTATTGTAAAAGAGAAATATTAGAAGGAAGAAAGAGGTGAGTGGTCCTAAGCAAGTGTAAAACCTAGGAAGGCAAATACCATTACATCTTTTTTTTAGATGGAGTCTCACTGTCATCCAGTCTGGAGTGCAGTGGCGCGATCTCAGCTCACTACAGCTTCTGCCTGTTGAGCTCAGGTAAACTTCTCGACTCAGCCTCCCAAGTAGCTGGGACCACAGGCACACACCACCAAGCCGGGCTAAGTTTTTGTATATTTGGTAGAGACAGAATCTTGCCATGTTGCGCAGGCTAGTCTCAAACTCTTGAGCTCAAGCAATCCACCTGCCTTGGCCTCTCAAAGTGCTGGGATTACAGGTGTGAGTCACTGAGCCTGGCCCCATTAGACTTTAAGGTTCGAGAATAATCCTCTTTGGTTTGTTCCTCCACCCTCCAGGCCCAGTGTGATGGCAGCATCTCCCCGACAGGTCAGCAGGGCAGCCTCATTTCTTTGGCTCTGTGTGGTAGCTCTCCCCACACATGTTTCTGCAGAGTTGTGGTCCAGTCATCTGAAACTTACATGGAGGCAGCTTTGCATCCCTGGCCTGTGCACTCTGGACCAGTGATAGGATTGGCAGCCCTGATGAAGTCTGAATTGTGGCTCTGGGGTCCTTTTTACCTTTTATTAAAAGACAGCACATGTTTGCAACCAGATAGTTCCATGATTCCATCAGGTAAAAGAAGTCTGACAGACTTGCTGCATTTTGTTGTGTCTTTTTTGTCCCCTTTAGTTCATTAACACTGGCAATGTCTTTGCTGGTATAATCTCATCTCTATTCCTGGCTCCTGTTAAGATGGCTGATTAAATGGAGAAACTGCATACATGATTTTTTATTAAATGGTTGATCATCCACACTCTTAGTGTTCTTTTCAGAACAAGTTTTCTTTTATTTCTTTCTTTTTGCAATATGGAGAGGCAGAGAAATTTTCAAATATTTAAATTCTGGTTCCATCTTGCTGAACAATTTCTTCTTAAATTTATCTCTTTCTTCACATTTTACTATAAACAGTCAAGAGGAACCAAGTCACTCCTTCAACACTTGGATTGGAAACCTCCTCAGCTAAATATCCAATTTCATGACTCACAAGTTCCACCTTCCACAAAACATTAGAACATGAACAGAAGCCAACAAGGTTCTTTGCCATTTTATGACAAATATTGCCTTTCCTCCAGCTTCCAATAACATGTTCTTCATTTCCTTTAAACATAAATCTATTAAACATAGATTCAAGACCTCACCAGAATCTATGTTTAATGTCCATATTTCTAGCATACATCTCAAAATTCTTTCGGACTGTACTCATTACCCAGCTCTAAAATTACTCCACATGTTTAGATATTTGTTACAGAAGCACCACACTTGTGTTTAACCAAATGTCTGGGCATCTTGTGACCCAGTCAAGTTGACACATAAAATTAATCATTATACCATCATGTCATATCCAAGATTCTTATCTTCTTTATTAGTTCCTTCATCTATAAAGCCCAGATAATAATAAAATCAACCTCACAGAATTGCTTTGAAGAGTCACCTTTTCGATGCATACAAAGCATTTAGCAGGGCCTGGCCCACAGTGAAGACTCAATACATAATGACTATTATTATTGCCACTAGGTTGTACACATCACCAAAAAACAAGACTACAGTGAACATTAGAATGTTCATAAATGAGTTCAATTCACCACTGATTATTCATAAGCTGTAATGCCAGGTGTCTTAGCCTTGAACATACTATCCTGGAACAATGTGACCTGGCATTGTATCTGTTGAAACTAAAAACCCTTACTGGACTTTAGGGTTAGGGTTAGCATTACTCACTACTTTGTGTAAAGTACTATACACAAAGTAAAGTAGTGTACACAAAGTAGTGAGTAATGCTAACTGCATTAGAATCACCTTCTAACTTGTTAAAAATATAGACTCTTAGGTTCCAGATAAAAGTTACTATACCAGTATCTCTTTTTAAATTTTTATTTTTTATTTTTTAGATAGAATCTGTGTCACTCAGACTGGAGTACAGTGGTATGATCTCAGCCTACTGCAGCCTTCATCTCCCAGACATTGATCCTCCCATTTCAGCCTCCTGAGTAGCTGGGACTACAGGCATGTGCCATTATGCCCAGCTAATTTTTTGTATTTTTAATAGAGACAATGTTTTTCCCTGTTGCCCAGGCTGGTCTCAAACTCCAAGGCTCAAGTAACCTGCCCACCTCAGCCTCCCAACGTGCTGGGATTACAGGCATGAGCTGCCATGTCTGGCCTTGTAGCACCTGTTGACCAAGAAGCCCAGGGCTCTGCACTTTTAGCAAGAACCCTAGGACATTCTTAGGTACGTTACATGTCAAGAACCACTGTCTTAGTGGAACTTGGGACAGCTTGCTGATTCATTATTTTCATCCCTTTGCTTTAGTAATGCACAGAGTCAACTGTATTTTAACATTACTGCCCCATTTGAGTTTTTGTTAGTGTTTTATCCCTCTTGTGTTCCTCAAGTTGTAGATCATGTTCCTTCAGGATGGGGTTCAGGGCAGTTTTCTACGACGGTTGGTCTTGTGGTCCGAGGCCTTCTCACCCCATGCTTGTTTACTGCTACTGAACACATCATTCCCTTGCTACCCTCAACCGTAACAGACAGTCCTGCCGACTCCCTCCTGATTTATCCTGTATTGTATTACTTTCTTTCCCTCCCCTTCTTGGTGATTTAAGAAGCTGTTTTTATTGTTCCCAGAGCCAACACATCTGTCATATATTTTCCTCCAACTTAAAAACATTGGAAAATCACTGGCTGCTTAGCACAAAGTCCTGCCGGCACTGGATGATTGTTCCTTTTGTAATTGGTGCTCACTTAGTGAGACTGCACATTCTAGGCTTCTGTTCGCCCACTCCTTTGCTGCCATTTAGCCCAGGTCCTTCAAACTCAGAGGAGACAGAGAGGCCTCTCAGTCTAGGTTTGTGAATATAATTGCTTCATTTTGTGAATTAAAGTAAACAGTGTGGTTTATCCACAGTTTTCCCGTTTTAAAGATCTATGCTCTGTCTATGAACATAGAAAATTGAACCATGGTTTTAACTGATAAAGTGATATAGCACGAAGTATGTTAGCAATGGAGAAACAAGGACTAGATTGGAAATGACTGGTCTGCCTTTATTCGAATTATATTTATAGTGAGTGTCTTGCTAGTCAGAAGTCACAGAAATCAATTTTGCCTATCCTAAGCAAAAAAAAAAAAAAAAAAAAAAAAGAATTTGTTGGAGGATATTGGAGAGTTCCCAGAAACATCAGGCTTGAATCGCATGTAGGAACCAAGGGGGCCTCTGTAGCTGGATCCTCTGGCAGAATGCAGGTAGGTGAGGGGTAGGGCCATGTCACTTCCAGGTTCAGAGCCCCAGTGGAAGCTCAGATTGAATGGGTTCCACCAAGTGACCACTCTCTCACTGACAGAACCCTCCCCTTCTGGCCTCCGTAATGAAAGGTGGACCTTCCTCCTCTCCATCAGAGTTCCTCCCAAATACGAAGATTTGGTTGTTTTGTAACCCCAGAGGACAAAAGTCCACTCCAAACATGATTCACATTCCCTGTATTTCCACTGCAATAATAATAATATCTATCAATTATTGAGGACTCATATTTTTTCAGGCATTGTACTAGATGTTCCTAACTTAGAACCTTTAATCCTAACTGAAACCCTCCAAAAAAGATAGCAATGGATTTTTTTATAGGCAAAAAAAAAAAAAAAAAAGAGCCTCAAAGAGGTTAAGTGACTTTCCTATAGCCATACAGGTGATGAAGCCAGACTGATCTGCCCCCTGGAACTGATGGCTTGTCTACTCTATTATGCTGCCACTTTATGTAGTATCTTTCCCTCAATTTTTTCCTATAATCTAATAAGTCGAGTAGATGGGACTTGTCTCTTAGCTATTACATCCACATCTCAGTAATGAAAGGTATTAACAGCAATTCCCCTAAGACTCCTTCCATCTGTGATGTTCTAGGTTGCTATAACTATATTCCAACGGCTACCATTTTACAACGGCATTGAGTGTATAATTACAGAGCAGATTTGGACAGTGTCGGTGGAAACATTATCACTATCAAGTGTGATGCTGTTTTGTTGTTGTTGTTGTTGTTGCTGTTTTGTATTGTTCAGCCTTCCTCCTCTGTAAGATTGTACTTCTCCCACCAAGTTAGGTCCCTGAAATCTGTTAGGAAATGAAATGCAGGCCTGTATCCCTCTAGAAGTGGCTGCCAAACATACAGTTTCTGCTGTCT